GTTCCAAAGCAAGTGACATTTTAGCTTTTGGCCCACCCTAAATATTAACTCCTAGGGAAAAAAAAGGTATAACTTAATTAAACAATTTTGTTATTTTGACACATTGAGATATGTAATTAAGGAAATTTTAGAGAAATAAAATTAATTCATTCTAGATTATGTAAAAGGATATTTATTTCGGACCAAAATAAAAAAAAGTCAAAAAGTCAGTTATTGTGGACAAGATGGAGTAGATTGGTATACCCTTTCATTGGTATGTATTGGATGGTCAAAGATCGTGTTTTTAACTATTTACATGCATGTAGTGCTTTTATTGACCCTCTTATTACAATCGAAGGTAACCGTAACAAGTAGTAATATTTTCATTCTTATATCCAATATTAAATTAACAAAGGTGAACCGTCTTTCAAGATTAGTTGTAGAATTCTAGCAGTTTTCTTCGTGAAGGAAAGATTGTTAATTTGATAGATACCACTGCTGTTGCTCTAATATACTCTATAGAAGCCAGTACTTTTTAATGGATCATCAAGAACTATTTCTGAGCTTTTTTTCTTAAACTTTTTTCGAAGCTTCACATTTATAACTTTTAACTATGGTTAATAGAAAATAGATATAATTAGGAAAAGGGGAGTAAGTTTCATGCTTATACGCATCTGGTGTCGAGATTGTTATCTTGACATATCCCTTATCTGTCAAATTATGTGAGATTACTATATTAATCATGGGAAGATTTTCCAAAATTATTGATGAAGTTTCTCCTAAGTTATGCTTCTTTTTGCTCTTCCTTATTTAAATTCGGTTGTGGTACTCCTCTTTCAACCTTAGTTAATCCTCTCAGTTTGTATAAATATTTGATTACACCCATAACTTGTGCTAATGAGGAAAATCGTCAAAGTTTGTGTGTTCACCTTTGTTTATGACTTTTCTTTCCTTTTCGCTTCTTCTTTATCTACTTCTCTATTACTGTCTTAAACTGGTATTGTAGCTTCCGTGTCAAAACACTACAAAGACCTAAAAAAGAAAAAAAAGAAGAAATTGTTCAAAGTGGGCCTTTGATGGATACTTAGTGTATGTAGTTCTCAAGGTAAAAGCACGAGCTTAATGATGCAGTGCCAATTAAAAGCGTACAAACGTAAGGCCAGTAGTCGCTTTTGTTGCTTCCCCACTTTGTCCATTTTTACTAATTTATTGCTATTTATGCAATGCATGTAGTGCCCTGTCATTTTCACCAGCCTTTCTGTGCACTTCTGTGTAACATCTCTCGTTTGCATTGCCTGTATAGTAGTATTGCCTTTCCTTTCTTCACGTCATAACGCAATTCTGGGCTGCCCTTTTCTTCTTGATCCTATAAAAATTTCTTACAATAATTGTAACTCTTGGACCAGTCAACGTGAATCATTTATCACTATCTTCAAATATGTGTCGTTCTAATGATATTGACAGTTCATACCTTATGTATTTTAGTACATACTTTATGTATCGAGCCTAGTCCGGTAGGATTTTGTCTAAGATAGCTAGGGGCAATGTCGTGTCTTACTATTTTCTATTTTCGACGCAGGATTCATATACTAGCCATCGTTTTTGCTTTGCATTTTTTTTTTTCATACATTTTATGTTCTTATTTTTCTTATGATCTCCGTGGTGAATCTAATATTCTCTCCTTTTATCTTTTTATTATCTTGAGCCGAGGGACTTTCGAAAACAGTCTCTCTATCCCTTCGGGTTAGGGGTAAGGTCTGCGTGCACACTACCCTCACCAGACCCCACTTGTGGGATTTTACTGGGTTGTTGTTGTTGTACTTGTTGAGATGTCAACCAATTAAGCATTTAAACCTAGTGTCATATAGTCATTCGAGTCTGGCTTTTGGACAGGAGCAGACCTATTATCTGAACATGGAATTCCATTGAACCCATATTTTTGGCTTAAACATATAGAAGTTCTGAAAATTACCCCAAGTATTTTTTGTTTTGAACCCATAATCCATCAAGTTTAAATCATCAAGCCGCCTCTTCTTTTGGGTGACCTTTCTTGGTTGAGGGGAAGGGCAGCAGTAGTTTGTCTTCACCTAATTAGTTTAAATCATCAAGTCGCCCATCCATAAGTGTGTGTGCATGTTTTAGTTTAAGAGTTCCACAGCAACAAAAGGTAAAACTCTATATTCTCGACTTAGTAATGAGACTATATATAATACTCATGTAGAAGATTCACTGTGCTGTTTGTAGGGTCGATGGCCAACAACTCAAATTGTCCTCATCTCACCTCCTCCAATTGATGAACCTACGCGACTCCTGTAAATCTCTTTCCATATGTTTCCTGATTCTATGACTATTAGTGCACTTTGTTTGATGTTTAATTCAAACAAATGTAGATATCCTTTTATTGAGAACAAATTGGGCCTGCCAGAGAGGACCAATGAAACTGCTGGAAATTATGCCAAAGCAAGTCTAGCTGTTGCAGCTGAATGTGGGGTTTTGGCTGTGGATTTATGGACCAGAATGCAGCAAATTCCTGGCTGGCAAACAGCTTGTTTAAGGTATCCCCTGTAGTACAAGAAATTTATGATCTTACTTTGCCATGATTCGTTCTCCTTCATTTATTTTCTCAACTGTAACAGAGGTTTCATCCACATTATTTGAACTTTTATCAATCTTAGTTGTCTGCTTCTGGCCAGAGAGGATAGTACTTGTTAATGCTAACAGGATATTATTCTGATCATCAAAGCTGTTTTCCCAACCATCTAATTAATTTCATCTCAATTTTTGTACCTCTTGAATTTGAAACTGAAGATATCCAAGCATTGTCTACTCATCTTTCGATTTACAAACATGATTACCAGGGAAAATCTAGGACGCGGTCTCTACTTGACCAGAGACATTTTTGTAGCTTTTCATATGTTGAAATTCAGTTTAAAAAGCTGAAGTGTTTAACCAAATATACAATAAACTCATCGTTTTATCCCAGAGGATTCTCTTTTTATTTTCTATACCTCTTGCGTAATTATCTATATAAGTAGCATCTCTTTAGGAATTGACTTCTATTCTTTAAACTGTCAAAATAAGTATTTTAACTTGTAGGAATTAATATGCCTTATTTTTTAGGTCACCAACTTTTTATGAATGTAGGTGACCTGATGGTATAAAATTGTAATTCGATTATCTATCTCGCAGTGATGGTTTGCACCTGAGTAAAACAGGGAACGAGATTGTGTTTGAGGAGGTGGTGGAGGCTCTTAAGAAGAAAGGGTTGAGTGTGGAAACTCTACCAGTTGATCTGCCAGTGATTTATGAAATTGATCCAAATGATCCTCTCAAGTCTTTTGAAGGAATATAGCATATATATGTTGAAGCCCCTTTCCTGCATTTCTTACAGGCTTTAATATATTTTGGAATAGCTATTTCCTATTTTAGCAAAAATATATTGTTTATAGACTTAAAGGTATTGATGTACAAGTAATTTCATACCTTGGCTCAAGCCAATATGTGTTTTCTCTTACTTGGATTTAATTTGGCTATGGAACAACTTTTGTTAGTACTTTCTCTACTCACTTTTACTTGGCACGTTTTGACTTTTCACGCTCATTAAAAATAATAAATAAAGAGCATAATTTACCATGATACCCATATTAATTGATGCATATTTTATTGAATTGAGAAGAAAATTTGAAATTAGTAATAAATACTGTAGGTATAACAGGAAAAAAAATTGTCTTCTCTTGATATGCGTAAAGTGACAATTAAAAATGCAAATTTATTTTTAGTATACATGTCAAGTAAAAGTGAACGGAGGGAGTATATTATTGTGGGGTGAGCTATAACTCGGCATGTGTGGTTTGTTACATGTAGACCTGTTAAATTGGTCGACTCGGACCTGAACCCGTTGACTCTTGGCCCGTGGGTCCTTAACTGGGGCGGTCTGGTTCACTTTCTTATAGGAGCCGGTCTTAATTTGACCCGTTCATCAAAGCATGTTGACCCGACCCGGACCCGTAACCCTTAACCCCGGGCCCTAATGGGCCGAATCCAATTTAATTTATAAAGTTAAAAACTAATAAATGATAAGAATTTCAAACTTTATATACATATATACGAACTTGAAATTATTATGCTAGCGTTTGGCCATAGATGCCAAATTTATTTGGAAAAATCCGATTTGGGTGAAGTTTGGTTTGAAGATGAAAATGTGTTTGGACATACGTTTTCAAAACATATTTTCCAACTTTATTTTGGAAAAACATGTATATAATTCCCAAGTTTTGGGATTTTGGCCCAAAATCAGCTCTGGGATTTGAGATTTGAGATTTGGAATTTGGCCAAAATATGGGCAAAATTTATGGCCAAACATGAGTTTTGAAAATAAATCCCAAATTTATTTTGGCAAAACTCATGGCCAAACGGGGCCTACGTGTCTTGGAAGCCAGTTAGAATAAAAATGAAAGAAAAATCATATTTTACTAACATTAAAACTTGAGAAACAAATTGTAACACCCCGTACATTCGGACTAGGTGTGGATATGTTAAATGGGTATTAATTTGATATTTTAGACATATGAAGTCCTAGCGGGATGAGTATGGGTGAAAATTGTTATTTTAGAATCAAGACGAAGAGTGAGGTGTGCAAGATTCGATAAAATCTACTAAGTTTACAAAAGGTCAGTCTTGCAGCAGGATTTAGTCAAAATATGTAAGGTATTTAGGAAATCTCAAAACAAGAAAGTTGTAGGCCTTTGAAATTGCTTTTCAACGATATATTGTGGAGCCCAAACGGATCTCTGTGCAAAAAGTTATGTGCGTTTTACAGAACAAAGCGTAATATGCGCGCCCAGTGCGCGGCCGCGCACTTGTGGCAATGTTACTGCCATTTTGCGCGGTCAGGTTCGTGGTCAGGCCTTCAGGTGCGCGGGGGGTGCACTTAGGGGGGGGGTGTCATTTTAAATCCCTACTTCGTCCCTCACACCCCCAAAACACAAAAAACTTGCTCTAGAAAGGGGAGCTCTCAAAAACCTAACTCCTTAAGGGTCCCTCCACCATCCAAGGTAAGTTCTAATGGCGATTCTAAGTTAATTTCAATTTCTCAACATCTTATTAACATGGGTAAACCCTCCATATCATTAGATATTCGATTGGGACATCATTGTTAAGAGAAGAACTCGAATTCAAGGAGATTGAACTTCAAAAAGGTAATGTCTTCACCCTCTAATTGATTCTAGCATCAGATTAATGATTATAGACTCTAGTTCATGAGATATGAGTTGATGAGTTTGATAGAAAAGCATGAACGGCTATAGGTTTGGGGTGTGATTGTTGATTATTGGTTAAGGGTGTTGTTTACCTTATGGGTGATAAAGAATGATGTTGATTATAACCATTTGAGACTTTAGAATTTATCTAGGAGCAAGAGAATGGGTTATTGGGTGTAGAGATACCATTAATAAGGACTATGAAGCTTTATGCCACCAAGTATTTGGGAAAATGCCTAAGTGACTGAAACATGAGTATTATTGCTAATATGGATTCCCTTTGACTTGTATTGATATAGATTAAAGTTGAAAGGGTTGGCGAACGTTGTAGTACGCTCAAGAGCAGGAAGTTAAGGTATGTGAGGCTAACTCTCTATGTTTGGGAATGTTAATGATTCTCCCTACACTATGTTTCTTTTACCACGTTACTAATTGCCTCAGAAATATAGCCTAGTTCCTTGAATAGTTGTAGAACTTCTATTCTCTAGCTTCATAACTCGTTCATGACTTTCATTCTGGACGTTGTAAGCTTAGTGCGTATTCAATATAGACTTGGGTTTGATGCCCCGAGTCTTAGTATAGATTACTCAGTATGCCATAAATAGTTAAAGTTTCAGTGTTCATAATCAGTTCAAGAATACATATCTCAGTCTAGTCCTATTCAGTATTCCAGTATTATGTAACTCAGTGTGATCCAGTATTCCAGTATCATGTAACTCAGTATGATTCATTATTTCACTATCATGTATTGCAGTATGATTCTCAGTTCCTGATTTTAAATCCCTGAATGTTGAACACCTGTATTTGGGCATGAGGCCGCAGTTTATGCTTTATGCATCTTTGGGCCTGAGGCCGCAGCTATGTATACGTATACTTGGGCCCGAGGCCGCAGTTGTACACATATATATATTGGGCATGAGGCCGCAGTTTAATATTCAGATAAACAGGTTGTTCATCATTCAGAAGAGGGAGTATCCATATCCTTACTTACTATGTTCTGTTCAGTTATCAGTTATCATTTTAGTTATCAGTTATCATTTAAGTTTCAGTTTCAATAGTTATCATTTCAGTTATCGATTACCAATTCTCAATTATCAATTCTCAATTATCGGCTTAGTTTCAGTTTCAGCATTTATAATTCTTTCTTTTAGTTGCTTTACATACCAGTGCAATTCAAATGTACTGACGTCCATTTTTGCCCAGGGCCTGCATCTCACGATGCAACTAGTGATTTACAGGTTGACGATTCAGAACGCTAGGATTCTCGTACCAGCTATTTGGTGATCCCTAGTTCTTTCGGGGCATTATCATTACCTTATAGTCTTCAGTATTTTCAGATAGTCAGTGTTTTCAGTACTTCATTAGAGGCTTCATAGATTAGAGTAACAGCTAGACAGAGTCCCAGGCTTTTTATATTAAGCTATGTTGGCTACAAATATGTTTCACAATTGTATTAGTATTTCCGCACTTTGATTTTTATCATCCAGACCTTCAGTATATTAGCATGTGCTAGTTTATCTTCCGCATTCAGTATGTTATGATATCACATGTTGATTCAGCCAGCCAGTTGGTTCGCTCGGTCGAATGTAGTCAGGCACCGGGTGCCGTGTTACGTCCAGGCCCAGGTTCGGGACGTGAAATTCGACTATTTTTATAACTAATAGTCTAAAATATATGGAATTTGACTATTTCGACAAGACGCATCGTAGTGTCTGGTACTATATTCTTTCTTTAGCGCTTGGATTTAATATTTTTACCACTTGTCCGAATATATATATGTGAGGTGGTCGAAGGCGGTTGACCCATGGGTCAGCTACCAGTTCGATCCAGTCCGGTACAGTGTGTCAAAATATTATAGCCCGTCCCAGGCTCTTTAAATTAATGGATTGGTCCAGTTAGGATTTCATGGGTCATGAACCGGTTAAAGTGTCAATTTTAATGGGTACCGGCCCATTTGACATGTCTAGTTACATGTGGTTGTGCATTTATAACTACAAGCGCAGGCTATAGATTGATATGCAGTGACCAATATGCATCAAACGTATAATTTTCTTACACACTGAATTAAAGAATTGTTGAGGCTCTTCCTAAGAGATCTTTTGGATAAATAATACAGGGGTATTTTCACTTTTAGTCCACGGTAGAAACTATTTATATCTGGTAATCGAAAAAGTGTATAAAATTTGTATAATTTTTGTATATAACATACAGAATGTATATATATACAAAAAATATATAAATTTTATATATTTTTTCGGTTATT